TTCCACCTCTGCCTCCGATGGCCTGTAGTCTGTCATCGCAGATTCTCCCCTAGACCTGCGGAACCAGACTTCTCAGGAGCGGGTCCAGCAATGTCTTCTGCAGCCCCCCGTGACCAGCTTGGGAAGCTGTGGGAACCACCACCAGAGGTCTCCGCAGCGAGGCTCAGCTCCCATCGGCCCACGTGAAGGCTTTCGTGAAGACTTTCCAGGAAAACAACAAAAAAGGGCCACGTTGTAGTTAGAATTCAGAGGGCCCTGTGACAGTCCCAGAAATTCCGGTCCCCAAAAAACTGCCATCCGTCCGCACCCAGGGTAACCCTCCTGCGGGGACCCGAGCCCACCACCAGGGGGCAGACACGCACAACAGCCTCACCCCTCAGCCCTGCCCTGGTCCTAGGTCTGGGGGTAAATCCCCCCCCCCCATGAAAGCTGGAGTAAATGCATCCCTTGCGCATGTCAAGGGACTGTCGGAAGGATCAGAGGGGCAACGTGGCCGTTTACTGGTGGTGGAAAAGTCTGATGTGAACACTACAGAGAAAGTTGGAAATGTCAGGAACTGAAGAGGAATCTTGAAGAATCTGAAGCTAATTGCCTTTGCGTGAGAATCCCAGGCTTCTCAGCATGACACCCACCAGAGCTTTTAAGATGAGGCCGTGCTGGCTTTCCCCAGCCCGGGGTGGGGGGCGCTGCCCGAGACCCTTCTCACCTGGACCTGTGCAGGCGTCCGGGCAATGGTGATGCCCGAGTGATGGGGACGGGCGTCTGATCAGACGGGTTCACTTGGCCGTTTGATGTTCACTTAATTCAGTTTCTTGAAAAAATTACATGTGTGTGGACAGGCACAGCCCAAGATTAAGCAGGTTTTCTTTCTTTCTTTATTTATTTTTTGAATCCTTACCCGAGGATATTCTTCCATTGATTTTCGGGGGGGGGGGCATTGAGGTCAGAGAGACGCATCCATTGCTTGCCTATCACACCACCTGGACCAGGGCTGGGGACCGAGTAGCAACTGAGGTTCGTGCCCTTGACCGCACTTGAACCCACAACTCTCTGGTCCATGGGCCGACGCTCTAACCGCTGAGCCAAACCGGGCCAGGGTGCTTTTTAGATTGTTTTAATTAATTTTTTTAAGCTCCAGTTGACATTCAGTATGATGCTGGGTTGGTTCCGGGCAGCAGGGTGGTGTGGGTCATACACCTTACAAAGTGCTGCCCGGGTATTTCCAGTGCCCAGCAGGCGGGTTAACGTCTTTGTGGGTTTTAGATCATGCTGTTTAAACTCTGCTTTAAATGACAATGAATGGCCCCCTCAGCACCAGACGACAGAAACCCCCCCACTGGCCCGCCCGCTCCGGAGGACTTTCCCGAATGACTCCTGTCTCCAAGCCCCCCCCCCCCCAACAGGTCTAATCAGTTCCTGCTCATCTGCGCCGCTGGGCGCTGAGCGGGAGGCAGCACCAGGGACGGGCGCCGCCCAGCTGTGGCCAGAGGGGCTGGCTCCAGGGTGCTGCCAGGTGGGACCACCAGCAAATTCACTCGAGCACCTCACTTTCGTCCTCCAAATCAAAGGAGAACAGTTTTCAGCCATGAACTAAGTCCCAAGCAAAGCCTCCAACTCTAGAGGTTGTCAGAGGACAGGCTGGCCCAGGACGGGCTGGTGCAGAGGTGGCTACATCAGCTCCGGCACCTGTGTGACCCCACCTGCTCCGGGACTCAGGCCATCATCTGTCTGAAGGTACAGGCAGGCGGCTTGACGGCAGCTCTCAGGCAGCCCAGCGGCCCTCTGGGTAGACAGACCCTCCCCAGAGAGCCTGCCTTTGGCTCTGCCCAGTGCCCCGGTGGTATCACGTGTCAGGGGAGCAGGTGGCTAAGAACAGTGTCCCTGCACTGTTTGGAGTCCCACATACCCCCAAAGTCCATGTGCCCTCCCGTGCCCCCCCCCTCCCCCAAGCACCACACGGAACGCACAGGCCCTTTCCATCCGTCTTTATTTACAGCCAAGTACAGAGTGTGGTCATTGCTGTGACTGAACATCAACACCCGGCAGAAAAGGCAGAGGGGAGCAAGCATCTCAAAGAAAAAGGCCCAAGTCCCTGCCCAGCTGCCCGTCCAGCCCGGCTCCCGTCACCTCTAAGAGCAGCGAGGACGCAGCTGTCACACCGGCCGCCTGAGGGGGGCAGAGGCCCGGACCCAGATCACAGGGGCTCTGAGCTCTGGACTCAGCCCAGTGGCTCCCCAGCCCGCTCTCTCCCTCGTCTGTCCCCCACCGGAAAATGGGTGAAGGGCAGAGTCTGCCCCCACCTGTCCTCCGGGCACAGGTGACACTCAGCCCACTGGGTCCAGCCTCTCCTGTTTCCCACCTGCCTGCAGCCTGGCCCAGTGGCCTGAGTCTGGCGACCCACGCTGGCACCCGGGCCAATTGGTTCCGTCCCTGTCGCCCTCCCTCCGAGGTTCCCCCTACCCTCTCCAAGTCAGACCCCCGAGGTCACCACACCAGCATCGTCCTTATACCAGCTCCCACCTCTGCTCCTGCAGTCTCGGGCTCCCCAAGAAGGCGCCGTCGGTGGGAGCCCCATCAGCCTGGAGGGCGGGGCCAGGCCCCCAAGACCTGCTTCCCACACACCTGGTCTAGGACAGTGGCGGGGAGGGAGGCGGGGAGGCAGCAGCAGGTGCCCCGGAGACTTGAGGCTGAGGCTCCCGAGGGCGCGGCCGCCACCCCCAGGGCAGAGCACCCAGGTGACTTGGGGCTGAGGCTCCTGAGGGCGCGGCCGCCACCCCCAGGGCAGAGCACCCAGGAGACTTGGGGCTGAGGCTCCCGAGGGCGCGGCCGCCACCCCCAGGGCAGAGCACCCAGGAGACTTGGGCCTGAGGCTCCCGAGGGCACGGCCGCCACCCCCAGGGCAGAGCACCCAGGAGACTTGGGACGTGGTTTCTGGCCCGATGACTCTGGAATCAGAGACCAGTGGCGCTTAAATACCAAGTCCAGGACTAGCCACGGGAAAGCTCAGGTTCAGACCTGTTGGCTAAGTGCTGGACTCACGGGAGGGGCAGCTGTCCCCCCCTGCCCGGCCCCTGGCACAGGTGTCCTGGAACAGAGGCCTCATCAGCACCGCCCAGTGTGGCCCAGCCTCCCAGCCAAGCACCAGAACTGGTGGAGGTTGGACCAGGAGGCGGGCCACCTCAGGGCCACCGCCCAGCCAGGCCCAGCTGCTTGGAGACAGGGGCTTGGTCCCAGCACCACAGGTGGACGAGGAGGCGGCCAAGTCACGGCTCAGATGAGAACCACCTCCCAAGGCAGTGGGACCGACAGCCAAGGCACTAAACGGTTTGGCACCCGGGAGCGTCAAGTACAGTGGTGTGTGCTGCCCCCCGACGGGCAGGCCGCCCGCGGCTCCCAGACAGGGGCGGGCACTGCCGTCCGCCCTTCACCTCGGCGCCGCCGAGGCAGGGAGGGAAGGTGATGAAGACGGATTCTGAACACACACCACCGCCTCCACCAGGAGCTCCAACCAGGTAGCAGCTGTCGGGAGCACCCCCGGGCCTGTCACGCGGGCTCCCCGGTGTCTCAGGAAGGGGAAGCTCTGCTGGGGGCTGGGGGGGGGGGCTTTTTGAAACAGCAAAACAGTTACAGTCAAATCAAGCCCAGAAAAGAGGGACCAACATGGACGGTACTGGAAGAAGACGGCTGGGCGACCGGGGAGCAATGGCCACAGGTGCACCTGAGCGGCCGCAATGGGCATCGGGAGGGGAAGGCCCATGAAATGCTCCGGGCGGAGCAGGGCAGCCGGGCGCACACGCCGAGGGCGTGCGGCCGCCAAGGGAACAGCTCTCGGGCAGTTACAAGCTGGGGTGCGGGACTCTGCAAGCGAACCTCAGCTTGGTCCCTGACTCCCTGCGCTCCTCCAACAAGCCTCTTCGGGAATCCGCGCGTCCCCCAAAGATGCACGTTTTCACCAAGAGGGAGCCCTCGGGAAAGATGGAATTCTCCGTCCCAAGTCTCTTCAACCCAAGACTCCAGCTTAGGACCTCCAGCCTCTCCCTGACGCCCTCCTCGCCCAGCGCTGCCACGCCCAAGCCAGCCACAAGGTGTGTGCCACCCCCTCTCCCTGCAAAGCCTCATGTCTCGGGGACAAAGCTTCTGTCCCCTGCAGGGGCAGAACTCTGTTGTCACCCCGTGAGGGGCTGCCGGCAGAATGCCCCCCAGCACCCAGGCTGCGAGGGGCACCGTGCACGCCTTCCTCGGTCCGGGAAAAGCCGGGGAATCTGGGCTGTGACTTCCCTGGGAGTCACACCCCTGCCAGGGACGAGGGACAGGCAGCCCTGGCTTTGGAGAGACTGAGACGTGGGTAAGGAAGAAGGTGTCGGGCCACCACCCGAGCAGCCAAGGGTGGGCGTAGGGTGGACCGTGGGGACAACACAGGAGGTGTGCTCTCCAGAAGGGCCCCTTCCCTGAGTTTGACTTTGCAGTTGAGGTCTTGCCTAATTTTAACTCAAAAGAAAGAAAAAAAGAACAGTCTCTCTCATCGACGTATCGTTAAGGCTCCAGCTCCAAGCAGGTGCATTGCGCCGGCGCTCAGAGGGGGGACGGGAGCCGCCTCGCTCACGGGTGCCAGCCGCCCACCTGGACGCAAAGGCCCCCTCCCCTTGGGGAGGCCCAGCCCCCGCTCCAGCCCCCAAACATCAGTGCAGGCCCTCCTGCAAAATACTTAACGGCAAGCAGCTTTACAGTATTTGTACCTTTGCACAAAAATAGATCCTTTTATATATATATATAATGTATTTATAACTGGGTACACGTTGGCTTCATAATTAGGCATCACCAGTAGTAGTTGGCACAGTTCGTCACGTAAGCTTGGGGTCGAGTTCCATGTCAAGGTCAAAGGCATCTCATCTCCACGCCGTTTCCTTAAATAAGCAGAGTCCCAGGAAACTGGACAGACGCCGGAGCCCTGCCCCACGTCCCGGAGCGGGGCCGGAGCGGGGCCGGCCCGGGGCGGCAGGTCAGTGCGGCCGGCTGCTGGACTCCGACGGCCGCCTCTTGCGTGCGGGCGTGCAGCCGTTGAGGCAGCCGTTGGTCTGCCGCTTGGACAGCCCCCCGTTGAGAATGTCCTGAATGTGCTGCACAATGAGGTTGATGGCCACTGTGGGGCAGAGACCAGAGACCGGTAGGTGTTAGGGCCCTCGAGGGGCTGACGTGACCTCCCGCACGCGACAGTTCCCAGAGAAGACAGGCAGCTCCCGGGAGACAGGAAGCCCTGAATAAATGGGCTTCTTATCAGATGATCTGAGCGTGACGGCGTGAAAGCGATCAGCCCAAATCCCGCAGGCGTGAGGACGGTCTTCCCTCTGACCATCGGGAGCTGTGACCTGGCCCCTGGGAAACCTCCCAGCCCCCATCCCAAGTGGAGTGACCCCACAGAAAGGCCTCTCCTCCAAAGAGGATCTAACACAGGCCTCTCTCTTACCATCAGAAACAAATCATGCAAAGGATGCGTGCCCATCACCCACAGCAGACAGACATCGAGTGCTTTCTGGGGTGAAAGACAAGCCCAGGTGGGGGCCACTCTAAAGAGCTGTCGTGAGAAAGACAGGCAGGTGGGGGAACACCAGGAGACGTGCCCCCGTCTCAGCTGTGACCGCGTCCCAATCGCTCAGCGAAGAAACGGAACGTTTGAAATGGAGAAAGACTCCATTGTAAAGAGAATGAGAAGGCAGCATCTTTCCACACCTCCTTCGGTCCGAGAGTAACAGTCTGTGTGAATGCCCGCGTGTGCACACGACAGTCACGGGGCCGGGCAGTTGCAAGTTCCTTTCGGGGGTCAGCCACCACAGCCCGCCCCGAAGTGTGACTGTACCTGGACTCACCTAGGTTGTCTACACCTCTAGGTATGATCACGTCTGCGTATTTCTTTGTCTGCGGAAAAACATATTCACGGTGCATTAAAGAGGAGTGCAGAGAGGGACCAGCCACGCTCCAGGGACTGTGGGGAGGGGCAGCCTTCTCTCCACCCTCCCAGGGGGCGCCAGCTTCAGGGTTCAAACATAGTGTGTGTGCGTGTGCGTATTTATTTATTTTTTCTAGCTGATTTGAGTGAGAGAAAGAACTACCTGTGGCCCGCCTCCTGCACGCCCCCTGCTGGGGACAGAGCCCACGACCCAGGCCTGTGCCCTGACCAGGGCCTGAACCAGCCACTTCCTGGCACACTGGGGGTACGCTCAACCGCAACCGCCAGGGCCGAACATACACTTTTTACCCACTTTATCTAAATTAGAATAAATCAGCCTGGGCCAGGTGGCTCAGTAGGTTGGAACGTCATCCCGATACGCCAAGGTTGTGGGTTTGATCCCAGGTCAGGGCACATACAAGAATAAACCAATGAGTGCGGAAATAAGCGGAACAAATCTCTCTCTCTCTCTCTCTCTCTCTCTCTCTCTCTCAGAATCAATCACTCGCTCATGACCAATGGCTTTTCCTCACGTTCTCGGTAGGAACGTTCACCACGGATTCAGTCTGCAGCTGCACGGAGGACACAGTCCTCGAAACCAAACCTGCAACTGCTTCTTCCCCACAAGCAGCAGTAGGGGTCGGTGACACCCAGACTTCGGGGGAGCAGTCCGCCTGAACTCTCTGCCGTCCGTCCAGCTCGAGGGAAACCCAAAAAAGCTGCCCCAGCAAAGACCATGCCACTGGCTCTGTCATCACACTCTTCTTTTTTTAAAAAAAGAGACACAATGAGCCCTGGCCAGGTTGGCTCAGCGGTTAGAGCATCGGCCCTTGGACCAGTGGGACCTGGGTTCGATTCCGGCCAAGGGCATGTACCTCGGATGCAGTTTGTCCCTGGCCCTGGTCAGGGTTGCACAGGAGGCAACCAGTCGATGTGTCTCTCTCGCATGGATATTTCTCTCTCTCTCTCTCTGTCTCTCTCCCTCTCCTGATCTGTCTAAAGATAAATGAAAAAATATCCTTGGGTGAGGATAAAAAAATAAAACAGAAAAAGGACACAATGAGCACAATCCCCTTTTTATTTAATTGACTGAGATTTTGTGGGCCATTTTCCAAAGAACAGTGTCCAGGTGTATAAACAAGGTTCAGGGTAAGAACACACAACGACGTCTCAAGAACATGAGCATCCTGACCCTGGGCCGCACCCAGACCAGCGCGGCGGAAATACAGCTGCCAGGGCCCGGCCTGACCCCACCTGGGCAGACAGCGGGCCCAGGCTCTGGGCTCCCACGAGAGTGACCCGATCTTCCCTGAGCTCACACTGGCTGGACAGTGGGAACGAGCAAAACCACCAGAAAATGTTTGTGCAGAATCCTGAGACCGGTCACAACTCGGTTAAACGGCAGGCACGCGGCAGTTAATTCCAAGTTACGTCCGATGATGAACTCAGTCTGCGTCAGTTACGTGGACGGGGGCAGGAGCAGCCCGGAAACTGACGGACGGATGGACGGATACAGTGTCGTGCTGCTCGGCCGCTCTGCCCTCTTCCCAGAAACCGAACCCTGTAACCCAATCCCCAAGGTGACTCAGGCTGACTCAGGCTGCCTGTGTGGTCAGAAATGAAAGTCAGGTCCGCTCTGACCGGGCGAGCTCCTGACACACAGAAGGGAACCCAGACAGCCCGGAAGGTTCCTTTTCCAAGAAAGGGAACAGGAGGAAGCAGAGAAATGCTCACCCCGGCGCCTCTACCGCCTCTCAATGCCCTCAGGCATCACCCAAACCAGGCCGAGCCCCCCCCTCCCCCAGAGCTGAGTCCTGCATCCTTAGGGAGTTAGGCCAGCACTGGTCACCCCGGGGATGGCCCATGACACAGACTCCTCCACCGCAGGAAGCTGAGCACCCCCTGCCCCCAACCTCCTGCTCTGGGAGCCCGGACTGCAGGGTCTGTGGGGGCGAGGGAGGAGTTCCCCAGCACGACACCCTTCCCAATGGGGACGCATCGCGCCAACAGGAGCTCACGGCAGGCTCAGGGGAGCTGGAGGGGGACACCCTGCGGCAGGGCCCCCGGCACCCGCTCCATGCCCCACAGACCTTCCCCGGTGCCCAGTCTGCCCTGAGATGTGATGCCCCTTCGATCCGGGGTTCACACCAGGAGCCCAGACACGACGCGGGGCTGGCTGGGACTGAATAGCGTATCTCTAAGGGGCTCCTGACAACGAGGGAGCCGGGGGCAAAACGGGGATGCAACTCACGGGCAAGCAGAACTCCTCGAAGGCCGGCTTGACGAAGGTGATGTACTGGGACAGGATCTGCTCCAGGTCCCGCCCTCGCTCACTGATGTCCCGCAGCACTGGGGGAGGAGGGGAAGCGGGAGTCAGAACGCTGCCCGGGCGCACCCGCCCCCGGAGGCCCCCCGGCCGGCCCAGACGTGACCGAGAGCAGCTCACAGCGGCTGGGGAAGCGCGTCCCTTCTCCGTCCTGCCGCGGTCAGATCTGCTGCGACACGGCTCTCGGAGGCCGGGCTCCAGCAGCACTGACCCCGACACACCGCCGTGAACACAGGGCAGAGCCGTCTGGTGAGCTCCCGGCAGCAGGGCCCACAGCTGGGGGCGTCCAGGCGAAGGGGCACATTCCCAGGACACTTCCCCTGGGCCCCCCTGGCTCCGGCCAGAGCCTGGATGCCGTCAGTGACCCACCTCGTCTCCCCAGCCCCAGGCCCCCTGGGGGAGCCGGCAGGGGTCTGTCTGGCCTCAGCCGTTCCCACTCAGCCACGACGAGGTGTCAGGCAGCAATGACTTAGTGACGGAGGAGGAAACCACGGTGTGGGGAACAACGGGCCAGGCCTGGGAACCAGCCCGATGGACCCAGCTCACCACGTTCCACTTCCTGGGCGGAGTTACTCGGGCACATCCAAACCCTTTCCAACGGTCTTTCATCCAAAGTGGAAAGGGCTTGCCCTCGGAGGCCCAGAAGCCTGGCTCCGCCACAGGACACGCGTCTGCCTGAGCCTGTTTCCCTCACACTCAGGAGTGAGCATGAAAGGCGAGTCTGTCCGTCAAACCAGCCCCTGCAGCCCCCCCGGTGCGAGGGCCCTGGCTTCGGTTCTGGTCAGGGCAGTGCCCGGGTGCGGGCTCGATCCCCCGTGGGGGGTGTGCAGGGGGCAGCTGATCGCTGTTTCTCCCTCACTGATGTTTCCATCGTCTCTTCCTTCCTCTCTAAAAACCAGCAATAACAATAATAAGAAGAAAAAGAAGACGTATTTTTAAAAAACATCCCCCACCAGCCCTGGCTGGTGTGGCTCATTGTCCTGTGCACTGAAGGGTCCTGGGTTCGATTTCTGGTCAGGGCACATACCTAGGCTGCAGGTGAAGTCCCAGGTCAGGGTGCATGCGGTAGGCAACCGATCAATGTTCCTCACTCACATCTATGTTTCTCTCCCTCTCTCCCCACCTCCTTTGTTCTAAAATCAATTAAAAATACATTTTTATGGGGTAAAAAGGTAAAATATCTGTAACAAAAAAATAAAAAAATAAAAAAAGATGTTGCCACAGGAAAAAAAATAATAATAATACATTTTTAACAGCCCTTCCCTACAGACGTCACGTTGAATCTTACTGTGCACTTTCACCCCCAACCCGAAAGACACCCCCCCAAGCAAGGTGGCTCCTGGCACCTCCTACCCATTTCTCAGGCTGCAGACTCCACAGTGGCCTGAAACCCACTGTGAACCCACACACGGAAGGCGCACGGGGGGGCTCTGGAAAGCCGTCCAGACAATCCTGCTCACACACAGGTACACGCGCGGGAGGGGCTGGGAGCAGGGCAGGGTCACGGCCGTGACCCAGGCTGGCCAGGGCCGGTGAGACCAGGTGGCTGGAGCTGGTCAGGACCACGTCCAGAGTGGGTACCAGTGCCCCCGCCCCCGCCGTCCTCCAGCTCCGCCAGCTACGACCGGCCCCTCCCGTGGGAAAGGCTGGTTGGTCCCTAACCGCCAGGACTTGCCCGGCAGCTCCTCTGACTGTCCCCCCGGACCGGAGCGGTTGTCCCGGACGGGAAATGGCCTGTCCCCTGGAACATTCTGACACAGGCTCTGCAGGGCTCCACACCACCGGCCCGAGGTCTGGCACGTGGGAACTCGGCCAAGACACAGCGATCTGGCGGCCAACCCTCCGCACGTCCCCAGATAAAGGCCACACAAGAGAGGAAGCCAGAGCAGAAGGCCATCGGGGCTGGGGCCAGACACGCCCGCTCCGGGCAGTGTTACTTCAGGTCCTGCAAGAGCCTGGGCCCGGCTGTTTCGGCTGTTTCCCAAGACACGCTTCTCACTCGGCCGGTGCCCACTGGTGCACACGCACGCACACTCATGCACATGTGCTCACGCCTCGGCCAGGCTGGCAGCCCCCAGACCCTGCACACCTGACGCCCTTCCTGTCACACCTGGAGGGGGACCAGCAGGGACAGAGCAGGTGGGCCACCCCGGTCTGCTCTGGTGCCCACAGGTGCTTTTCTTGCACCGCAGAGCAAACCTGCCCCAGGTTCCATCCTGACCCCGCTCCCGTGGCCTCTGTGACCGTAGCCAGTTACCCCACCCCTGTGAGGGTCACTTCCCCTCATGGTGAAATGGCCAGTGCCAGCCCCTTCCTCGCAGCGGTCACTGAGGGACACAGGGAGCACGTGTGCAATAAGCCTGGGTTTCTGTGACCATTATGGTGACAGCGGACCTGACGGACGTGCCCTGACGGCAGAGCACCAGAGGGTGGGGACCCTGCACAGCAACTGGGAAGCTGGGGGTGGGGGCAGTGCAGGAGGGGAGAGCAGGACACACATACACAGACACATATACACACAACAACACACACAGTACAAACACACAGACATTATACACACACACACCGCACAACATACACAGTACACAAACACAGACACATATACATAGACAGGTATACACACACAGTACACAAACACAGACACGTATACACAGACAGGTATACACACACAGTACACAATACACAGACAGATACACACACACAGTACACAATACACAGACAGGTACACACACACAGTACACAATACACAGACACATACACACACACAGTACACAATACACAGACACGCATACACACACAGTACACAATACACAGACACGCATACACAGACAGGTATACACACACAGCACACAGTACACAGACACACATACACAGACAGGTATACACACAGTACACAATGCACAGACACGTATACACAGACAGATATACACACACAGCACACAATACACAGACACGCATACACAGACAGATACACACACACAGTACACAATGCATAGACAGGTACACAGCACACAGTACACAGACACGCATACACAGACAGGTATACACACACAGTACACAATGCACAGACAGGTACACACACACAGCACACAGTACACAGACACGCATACACAGACAGGTACACACACACAGCACACAGTACACAGACACGTATACACAGACAGGTATACACACACAGCACACAATGCACAGACACGTATACACAGACAGGTACACACACACAGTACACAATACACAGACAGGTACACACACACAGCACACAATACACAGACATGCATACACAGACAGATACACAATACACAGACACGCATACACACACAGGTATACACACACAGTACACAATGCACAGACAGGTATACACAGACAGATACACAATACACAGACACGTATACACAGACAGGTACACACACACAGTAGACAATGCACAGACAGGTACACACACACAGCACACAATACACAGACAGATACACAATACACAGACACGTATACACAGACAGGTACACACACACAGTAGACAATGCACAGACAGGTATACACACACAGCACACAGTACACAGACACGCATACACAGACAGGCATACACACAGTACACAATGCACAGACACGTATACACAGACAGGTACACACACACAGCACACAGTACACAGACAGGTACACACACACAGCACACAGCACACAGACGCACGCACAGGATAGGAAGACGTCCCACGGTCTCCACCCCGACAGCAGGTGGGAAAGGTCCAGAGCGCCGCCCAGACCCTGGGAACGAGGACGTCTGCAGGCCTGTTGTCTCCTTGAACAGGTGACCCTCCCCCCCGCGAGCACGCTCCAGTGCACAGCTGCGCCTGGGCCTGCGCCTGGGCCAAGCTGAGGCCGAGCCCGAACACGCTCTCGGCACAAATCGGAAACCACAGGGGCGCACAGCCAGCTCCCTGGCCGGCACCGTGGCAGCACCGTGACCTGTCACAACTGACCCAGGACAGGCCCCGTCACAGGCAGGTCAGGGCAGGACAGCGCACACCCCCACCGTGCCTGCGGGGCGTCCGCCCAGCCCTTCCAAAGCCACGACACAGTTCAGAAGGACCCAGAACACATCCAGTTCTCCAGGGGGCGGGCCAGGGCCCTGTCAGAGCTGCCCTAGCCCCCCAGATCCATGGGCAGGCCAGGCGAGGCCCCCACGGGCAGGAGGCATGTCCCTCCAGGGCTGCATAACCTGGGAATGACACAGACGGCAGAACCACGAGCCAGGTCACGCCCGCAGGAATGTTCTCGTGCACGACAGCTGGTCCTGACTAAACCCTCACCGTGCCCTCCCACAGAGCACAGACCAGGCGTGCCCTCTGTCCTGCGTGGACACAGCAGGTGGGAAAGTCCCACAAGCCCGCCAGGGAGCGGCAGGACAGCAGACCCGGGCAGAGACGCCGCTGCTTCCCGGGAGCACCGGGCAGGCCAGGCTGCAGGGCTGAGCCTCCGGAACCCCGAGGGCCCTCCCGTCGTCCGCCCCTCGCAGACATGCAGGGACAAGCAGGGGAGGGAGGATTTCTGTTCCATCTCCACCCCGGTATCTGCGTGAGCGAGAGGCCACATTCACCTGACTGCCAAGGCCAAGGCCATGCACAACAGGGCCCCCACTTCCTGGGCGACGCTGCACCCCTCCCTGGGCACCTGCTGCGGGCACCAACTCCTGAGGACCGTCCCCACAGTACGGCACCTCCCACCTCAGGCACAGCCTATTTGCGATCAACACAACCGGTACGACTGGTCACTGCCCTGCAGGCACACTACCTGCGTGACCTCTGATGTCACACTATCAAGGACGACGCGTCAGCAGACGTCAGTAGAAAACGAGGTTAGAACAGTTTGCCCGGGGTCACCCAGCTACTACAGGGTGACACCAGGGTCAGTTCCCGTGACCATGTTCCTTCCCCTGCCCCCTGCTGCGTCCCCGATGTACGAGCTATTGTGGACCTGGGTTTGTGATCCAGGGGGAAGCCAGGCCCTGAGGCAGACGCATAAGGAACTGTCAGGCTCGGGACTCAATTATCTATCAAAATAGGCCACACAGGTCCTAGCTGGCCAGAGGTGCAACCCTAACACCCAGCCGGTCTCCCTATTACCCATAAAGAAATCCAAGCCTGGGCCGGCCAGTGTGGCTCAATGGTTGAGCATCAACCTGGGCACCAACAGGTCACCGGTTGCAATTCCCGGTCAGGGCACATGCCCACGTTTGGGCCCAATCTTCCCAGTGGGGGGCATGCAGGAGGTGGCCAATCGCTATTCTCTCTCATCGATGTTTCTATCTCTCTCTCTCCCTCTCCCTCCCTCTCTCTCTAAAATCAATTAAAAAGAGAAAAAAATTTTTAAGAGAAATCCAAGCCTGGGAGGTCATGAGAGCCACCGATGTCTCCAGAGCAGCGGGCTCTGCTGGGACTGATCTAGGCCCCCCGCTTGCCCTGCCACAGGGCTCTGTGCCCCCTACTCCAAGGCACCACCACCCCGACACACTAGAGCAGGGTCGCACCCCAGCTACGGCGCGGCTCCGACTTGGGGAGCAGACCCGGGACTCTCCCCACATGCTGCAGGCTCCGTGCGTCCCCTCGATGAGACCACAGCTCCAGCCCGCTGTGCTGCTCCACAAACCAGGCACATCCCCCAGATGCGGAGGCCAGAAGGCTCTGGGCTGGACCTCCCAAAATCCGACCTGCCAACGACTGCCCTGTGACGAGGAGCCGACCCTGTCAACTCCACGTCTCCATGAGAGCCCGCGCCAGCCGCCATCTCTCTCCTCGGTCGCCCCACTCCAATGCCTTCCCCTCCTATCTCCCCAGCTTCCCCCTCCCCTCCCACATGCCGTCGTCCAGCCCATCGGAACAGCCCTCAAAGGCCGCGTGTGCAGGCTTCCCGGGTGTGTGTTCCCACTGCACACTCTGGGGCTGCTCACGTCCTCACCCCACTGCAGCGGGTCCTGAGGCCCTTCCTCCAGCCGGCCCCCCATGCTCTCGCTCAGCACCCAGCCCGAGCAGCTGTGTGGCCTGCAGGAGGCAACCAGCTCCGCCCCGAGCTGGCCGCACAGCGACAACACAGAGCTTTCTGGTAACCAGGGGCCAGAGAAGGGCTGGCTGGGCGATGCCCAGGGCTGCAGGGCAGGGCCCTGCCCCAGGGGCCCTCACTCAGCCCCTCCCGGCGGTGACGCCTGTGGGGACCTCACAGGGAACGGAGCGTTCGACCAGCCATTTCTCCAGCCGAACCGGAACACACACTTCTTAGTTCACCTCCATGTGCTCACGGGTCCTTTGCTACCACCGCAGGTGACTAATCCCTTCTCGAGGGCCAGCGGACACTCGGGCTACAGGACACCCTGGGGCCACCTCGGGGAAGGCGTGGGCTTCAGACCTGGGGGCGCAGGGGCCTGTCACAGGCCACCAGCAGGGCCGCGGAGGCTTTGCCAACGCACCTCTGCGGGAGAGCCGGGTGTCCGCATCCGTGTCCACAAACAGCTTCATCTGAAACAGGTCCCGCACCTCCTGGGAGTAGAAGGCCAAGATGCCTTCGAAGAGAACCACGTCCGCAGGGTAGATGGTGACCGTCTCCTCCTTCCTGCAAGCACAGAGCACGAGGTGGGCTGAGCAGGCGGGACACAGAGGGCCAGGAGGGAGAGCGTCGGCGGGGAGCCCGGGGTCCTCCCTGCAGCCTTAACACAGGGCTGGCGCAGCCCTCGGACCCCCCTGGAGACCCGCACAGGGCAGTGACAGCTGGGGCAAAGGTCGCCCTTCCCCGCGAAGCAGAAACTCCTGCTGCTGAACGGAGAACAGACGGACGAGAGCAGAGGTGATCCCCCTCCTTGGCGGGCGTCTGCAGGGTCGCTCCTGGGCCCAGCATCCCTGAACTTCCCACCACACAGGCTCAGTCCTCCCCACACCTCGCCCCTCCCCCAGGCCTGGGGCAACCGGAGGGAGGGAGGGAGGGACAGAAGGGACCAGCGACCCCTCGTGAACCATCCCCTTCGGTCAACGACGCGTCCACACTGTTCCAAGAAGCAACCTGGGTGACAATCTGTCCTTCCCGGACAGTCGGCAGTGGGCACAGGCTCACTCACCGGGAGTGGGTGACAAAGTCGTACACGGGGATCTGCACGGTTTTCCCTGCGGTGATGTCCTTCAGAGTTTTGAAGATGAGCTCGTTGTCAAAGGCATCTGAAGGAGACCAGACTGTTAGCGTGGTCTCCATTTCCCTGCAAGCGTGCACCGGACATCCCCACAAACCCGTACTTCACGCACGGACACACGCCCGTGGACACCACACCCTGCAGAGGCCCATTCCCCCCACCCCCACCCCCAGATTTCTCCCCACGGCAGAACGGAGACTCCGTCTCAGACCGAGAATGAGCTCTGAAACGTGGGTTCTCCTCCCCGCCGGACAGTCCCTCCCCGGCCTCTCAGCCCGGCGGCTGCCCGGGGAACGGGCACCAGGCACTGTGCCCACGGGCTCTGACTCTAACAAGAACCCCAGCCAAAGGGGGCGTGTGCTGACCTGGGACGGTCCAGGTAAGTCGTTCAGGTGCCCCCTGGAGCCCGTCACCCTCTGCCAGTCAGTGAGTTTAGCACCCACGCACGTCCATGCCGTGCGGGTGCGGGGCCAGTGCGACAGGACAGACGGCCGTGCGCGTCTCTCCTGGGTCTGCCCATCTCGAGTAACGGGCTCCGCAGTCACCCTCGTTCAGGACCCAGACTCCACCGGAATTTAGGGAGCCAAGCGCTGTGTATTGTGTGGCAAAACGGCTTCCCCAGAAGCCCCCCGAGAACTCGGCGAGGCACCCGCCAGCTCCGTCTCCGGGGGGGACACAGGGACGTCAGGGGCCCCGCCCTCCGTCGGCCAACCGCAAGCCTTCGACGCCCCACACCTGGGTGATCACCCCTCACCTGGGTGATCGAAGTTGAACTGGCCCTTCAGGGCTTTGGCCTTCTGCTCCGCAGTGAGGACGCGGTAGAAGCTGTCCTGGCTCAGGATGACCACCTGCTTCTGGCGGTAGTCCACTTCGTTCTGCCCCAGGAGCTGCACGATCTTGGCACAGACGGAGGACTGTGGGGACACAGACGGCAGGTGGAGGGACGCCAGCGTCACTGAGCAGGCGCCCGTCCCCGGCTTTGGGAGGAAGAGCCCACGGCTGCCACCTCGCGGGGCGGACGAGAGGCTGAGGGACGAGGTGTACCCGCCGGGACGGAGTCTGGGGTCCCCCCAGCAGGGGAGGTGGGGGATGGCAGTCATTTCTGTCTCCCCTCCACACAGTCTTCCCGAAGCAGCAACAAAACTGCACGTTCTTCCTGCCCTGCTCTGACCCGACGTGGACATGAAAAAGGCAGCCACGTGTAAAGTCCACGGGTGACGTACAGATGGGCCAGATGGCTCCAGGCCGGGAAGTGACCGGGCGACCCTGGGACATCACTCCGCCCTGCCCTCCCCACCTCTCTGTAGCAACAGAATCGGCACCCACAGCAGAGCGGAGGCCAGGGCCCTCCCCCCGCCTCCGCCGGTCCCCTTTGCTCTCGTCCGCAGCCACGGGTCCTCCACCCCCACGGAGAGACGCGTGGAGCCGGAGTGACCTGGGACACAAACATCGCCAACACCCACAGCAACTTCAGGGTGTCCCAACAGAGCGGGGAGGCCGCTCCAAAGGAAGCCGACCCTGCAGGCGTTTGAAACGGGCAGGTCTAGGTGAGCGGAGAGGCGGGCCCAGGCTCGGACAGTCCCTACACCGTTCTCTCCAGGTCCCTACACCCTTCTCTCCACCGCGGTAGGTTTGAATTTTCACAGTCGGAGGGAAGGGGCCACCGGGGCTCCACTCTGCCCCTGTCTCTCTCCCCTGCTCTTCCCTAGGTGCCTGTCCCTTAAGAAAGGAAGGGATTCCTTAACGAGCCGGGTGTACGCAGGCAACCATGCGCTCACAGGACACTGAAAAGGAGAGAGAAAGCAACTTCCGAAGTGGGTTAAGGCTGAACACAGTCACAACAAGACAAATGCCAGGTGATCCCACGTAGATGAGGAATTGAGAGCAGTTGAAGTCACAGACACGAAACGCAGAGCAGAGGGGCCCCGGGGCCCGGGGAGACGGAGAGACGTTCATGGGTAGGTTCCGTCCTGCGCGATCGAGTTCTGGGGCTCGGTCACCAACACTGTGGCTGCACCTCCCGCTGCTGACATGGCCCACGCTGGGCATTCTGCCCCGATGGGAACGCGGACGGAATGACAGTCCACACCGGACGGGCAGTTCCTTCCTTGTGCTCGGTGCTAGGCCCTACATTTCTGAACGACCTCGTTTACTTACTACCACCTCATGTGATGGAAAGAATGATTGTACCCACCCCACTGCCGGTGAAGACAGGTGAAGAGGAGACGGGGTTACAGCCCAACAGCCAGATCCGTCACCCGCCTCACGGGCGAGCTGACCCTGTCAGTCGGAGCTGGAGGTCTCTGCACAGGCGGTGCAATGGCGCACCAGGCTCTGCTGGCCCTGCCCCCCAACACATCATCTTAAAGGGGGAAGTTGGAGGAAGGGCTGAAAAGCCAGCTAGCACTGTGGGCTGCTGTCTGACAGTTAAGACCAGGTCACTATGAGGTTATCTTTATAAGAAGAATCGCCTGGCAAGTGTGGCTCAGTGGTTCAGCATCAACCCTGCACCAAGAGGTCGCCGGTTCGATTCGCAGTCAGGGCCCAGGCCCAGGTTGTGGGCCTGATCCCGGGGGGGGGGGGGGGGGGGGGGCGCCTGCAGAAGGCGGCCAGTTGGTGTTCTCGCTCATCGAAGTTTCTATCTCTCTCCCTCTCCCTTCCTCTCTCTCTAAAGACAATAAAAAAAAATTTTTTTAAACCAATCGAAAAAGAAGAATTATATGAAAGAATCCGTGGAGGGGTTTGCAATTTCTTCATCTGTATGGCACGTGGTAGACACTATCTTCTGTAATTTCACTGCAACAAGAAGTTATTGGGCTACTTTTTTTTTTTTTTTTAATATCCCAGTAAGGAAACAAACCTAGAGAATCCATCAAATGCAATGACTTGCTCAAGGTCCCACAGCTGACCCTCAGACCACAGGTCTAACTCCATCGACACCATCCTCACGAGTCCAGAGCTGAGGCCGATATTCTCCATCACTTTATTCCAGGTCTAGGGAACGGGGGCGGGGGAAGGAGACGGAGGGAATTAGACACCGGGAGACGTTCTGCACCTCTTCATCATCAAAGCCGGCATGCGTGTGAAGTTTCACATACTGAAGGGCAGGAAAGAAAAAACTGCGTATGAAAAAACAGAAAGAAAAGCCCCGGCCGGTGTGGCTCGGTTGGGCATCATCCCGTGCAGCAGGGCAGGGGGTTGCTGGTTCGATTCCCGGTCAGGGCACATACCCAGGTTTCGGGCTGTCCCCACTGTGGGACATTCAGGAGGCAGCAAAAAATAGCGTGCACACACACATCTGTTCAAGGTATCTGAAACCTAAATTTGGATTATGTTCAAAAGAATCCAACTGTTGGAAGCTGGAAACTACGGGGCCCAAAGAATTCTTTGCATCCAGAACACGCCGGCAGTCAGTGTCCCAGTCGGCCAGTCCCCAGATGTGCTGAGCAGCGTACTTGGCCTGCACGCACTTCCCATTCGGGAACCCCCGAGCCGTCAGCAGCTCGTCTCGGACAGGCCCTCCGGTCGGCAGCGTCCAGTACAGCTGCTGCATCTGTGCTGCTGTTTCCCTAAAATGATTCTCACAGAGGAGGAGGGGGCTCCGAGGGCCTGGCACCCTGCACGGGGCTGTTCTAGGGAGTGTCTTCCGGACCTCACCCTGAAGACCCTCCGTCCGTCCCAGTGTTGCTGAGTGAAAAGCTAAACCACAAGGGCAGCTGAGCTCTGGCAGAAGCCTCCACTCCAACCCTCCTGCTGGTGCTCCGAACCCCCTCCCATCCGGCATCGCCACACTACAGGGGACAGACCGGTCTCCCCTCCCAGGTGCCACATCCTCAGTTCATTTTCCTGATGGATGCTTCACTGGGGAAAGAGCCAGACAGGTCACTTCCGACCCCTCCCGCTGGCTCTTGATAGGAAGTGGTCTCTAAGTCCGTGGGGACAGGTGCTCCTGTGCAGGTGTTTGGGGCAGAAATGAGCAAAGGCTTTAAAACCTCTGCCCCCTGGAGCCCACTTGTTCTGGCTGGTGGGACAGCAACTGGAGAAAGTCTTTCAGGAAATGGGACGCCGTGTTCCTTCCCTCTAATCACACAACAAATCGGTGCCATTGACGGTCAGGACTATGAGTCAGTGTGAAGCAAGAAGGTACCAACACTGTGACTGCAACCCGATAGCAGACCGGGCACATCGGTCCCAAGTGAAAACGGCTGTCATTTCTCTGCATCATCCCAAACAACAAAAAAGTTGTGTGCACATGTGCACGTGTACATGTATGCGCATGTGTGTGCATACGCCTCCTGGGCTGTAGATACCCACAGCCTGGCTGACAGCTGCCGTCAGGCAAGGTCAGGACAGGACTGTGCTCGAGAGGTGACGTGGGCCTCAGAACTGGGTTAAAATCATTCAGTACAAAACACTGATTGATTTCAGCTGCCTACTGCTGATTCTGAGCCTGAGACAGAATCTGTGGCTACTTCTTTGTATTCCTCGGAGACCAAACACAGAAAGTACCACACACACACACACACACACACACACACTGCATCTAGGCTTCCGGCTGGCTGTGCCCACTCAGCTCCCACAAAGCCCTCTCTGAAGGGTGGAAGTACAGAAGGGCCTGCTGGAGGGTCGATTCTTTTCCATCTTTTTAAAATTGACTTTAGAAAGAGGGAGAGGGAGGGAGGCAGGGAGGGAGAGAGAAACGTTGATGCAAGAGCAAAACTCCGATCGCTGCCTCCGGCAGGCGCCCTACTGGGGATGGAGCCCGAAACCCAGGCATGTGCCCTGACCGTGAACCCAAATGGCAACCTTTTGATGCAAGGGACGACGCTCAACCAACTGGGCCCCAGCAGCCAGGGCCGAAGGGCTGGGTGCACATGAGGCTGGGCCTGTGTCCTTCCCTTTACTTGAGGGTCAGGAGGCAAGCTGAGATGTGAGTCCCAGAAGACTGAGCCCTTTGTCCTAGGAAAGGCGAGGACGACTCTGGCCGAGACATACCAAAAGCCACCCACCCGCCCGGTTCAGTCGGCTTCCTGAGCGTGGACAATGTGTCTATCACAGACATGATGGCCCAGGACCCACAGGCCTCCGGGGGGAGACACCAAAAGAGAGCTGACATCCCCGGTTTTAAAAACTGGAAAAAGGAAGGAGTGCGAGGTGCCAGTGGGACCCTCTGCCCAGTCTCTCCGCATGGAGGGCCACCCACAGGCGACCCCTCAGCGTGGGCGGAGCAGCTCAGCAGCGTGCTGCCCCACAGCAGACTGAATTAACTCCTCCTGTCCGGTGATCCTTGTCCGAACGGTGCAAACCGAAATAAGACAATCTGGTTATCAAAAGGTTTTTTTTAGGATTTCTTCCCTAGGTTGGCCCCAACACCTCCTCTAACTACAGAGCTGCGGGGGAGGGAGCCGAGAGACGTCCTGGCCATGCGCTTCCCTCCTGCTGTCCTCGAACCTTGAACCTTGAACCAGCGACTTAGTCCTTAGTCCCGAGAACCTGCAGGGAGGGGCACAGACACTGTCGGCTGACTCAGTTTCCTGGAGCTGCTCCTTCTCAACCTTCCCCAGCTCCTCCTCAGCCCCCAATGCCTCAAAAAAATAAACAAAGGCCCTGGCCAGAGGGGTTCAGTCGGGTCACATGCCCAGGTTAGGGGTTCGACCCCCAGTCAGGGTAAGTGTGCGAGGCAACCAGTTGATGAGTCTCACATCGATGTTTCTCCCTCTCTCCCGTTCTTTCTCTCTGAAATCAACTAAAAAAAAAATAAACAGAAGCAACACAGATCCCATTAGTCTACGGAGTTAGGTGAGTTTACCGCACTGAATGTCATCGTAAGTGATGAGGGCTCACCTGTTGTTGGAAAAGTGGAATTAAAGCCAACATCCTTGAGTGTAGTGAGTGTCACCGGCCGACCTGAGAAACGGAAGCAGCACCCAGCGAAACCAGCCCAACTCCTGTCCTGGACCCACGGACTCGTGCAGCCCAGGCGACCCGATGCAAGTGAGGACAGCCTTTCCCAGAAGCGGAGCTGCAGCAGCTGGCCGCCCAGGGGCCAGAGACGAGCCCGACCACACCCTCTCGCCTTCCAAAACACCAGCTCTGCACGCTCACGGTAACCCGACACGGCAACCTACAAAGCTTCAGCAAGACCACAGAAGAAAGTCTTCAGGACCTAGCGTTTGGCCAAGATCTTGTCGCGTTGAAGTCAAAAGCAAACCCACAGAGGATGAAGTCCGCACACTGAATTTCATCACAAGGGAGACGTTCTCACGAGACCGGCTCTCTCCCGAGGTGGGGAAGACAGGCCGCAGAAAACACTCACAAAGTACTTTTGTCTGGACTATGTAAAGTTTTCAAAACTCGGCAGTGAAAATACAATAACCGCACTGGCCGGTTTGGCTCAGCGGTGAGAGCATCAGCCTGCGGTCCACAGAGACCCGGGTTCGGTTCCCGCTAAGGGCATGTACCTTGGCTGCAGTTTGTCCCCGGCCCTGGTTGAGTTGTGTGGGTGGCGGCCACTCGATGTGTCCCTTTCACATTGATGTTTCTCTCTCTTCCTCTCTCTCCTTCCCACTCTGAGTAAAAAAATGGAAAAATGTCCTCGGGTGAGGATAAAAAACAACAACACCACAATAACCTATCAGAACAGGAGCCGGACCAATGAGTATCACTGGCCCTGAGGGAAGACAGAAGTCAAGACAGCCCTGGCTGGGTGACTCAGTTGGCTGGAACGTTGTCCGTGCACCAACAGGTTTCAGGTTTGGTCCCCAGTCAGGGCGCGTACGAGGCCCCCGATCGCTGTCTCTCTCTCACACTGCAGTTTCTGTCTCCCTTCCCCGTAAGAGGGAGTTAGGGACCGGTGCGCCTCCAAGCCACCAGCCCTGGAGAGAGCCCGACCAGTTCCCCTTCCGAGCTGACACTACTGCACACCTAGGCTGCAGAACTGAAAGACAGTACGTCTCTGCCCTCTGAGCCTCTACGTTTGCAGCAATGACTACACCTGGCATGTTTCAATGAGCGTGTGTGTGTGCACTCCTGCACAGTGGAGCTATGCCCTGGGACGTGTCATTTCGTTTTATCATCTCTTCCTGAAGAACTTCCCCGGTGTTCTGTTTGCTCTCCCCGTCCCCGATTCCCGGTCAGCGCACGGGAGTGTCCGCTTCGTCAAATATCCTGGTTAATAATTAGCATTCAGGCTACACAGACTCCGCCAATTTTTAAAGACTTCCGCTGTACTTCAAGGTAATACTACACTGAGCCCTGGGCTTTAGCTGCTGTTTCCTCAGTGACTGAGGAATTACTAGATCCAGTGATGTGCTCCGGGGTCTTCAAAATGAGGAGCAATTGTGCAAAAGTGCCATTGAAAAGAGCTTCTGTGTTTTGATAGAAATGCCCAGGAAGCTTATGGGCAAGATAGATTTAAATAACCAACCAACAAAGATAAGATGGATGAAAACTATCCAATGGACTCAAAGGCCTAACGCATACAGGTCCTTTAGAATCAGGCTGACACCCGGGACCTGGCTCAACTCCCAACTCGACCACACCCACACTGGTCACATCTCAGTCCCCTTCAACCTCTCCGATCGTTCCTGTCCTCGTCATCTGGGAGTCATGATGGCCCTTCATTCCACAGATGGGTCACTATACCTAAGACAGAGCCTAACACAAGAAACACGTTCAATAAAAAGGATTCCTTTCTCGGCTGACATCTCAAAGATGAAGCCGCACATGTCTGAGCACAATGCCGTCCAAGCAACAATGTTGCAAGTGGCTCATTTAAATCAGCTTTGGGTCTCGTGGACTCGGATGTCATTCTAGTACTAATACATGTCAGTGGATGCTGACCCCCCTCCAAGGAAATACTTGCTGGCTGTACCTCTGTTCACTCATGCGTTTGAAGATCATCCCGTCGGTACAGTTAGGACCCCCTCCTTTTTCAGAGCTGCAGAGTATTCCTTGTATGAAGGAAGCACACTGCTCCTCCACGGAGGGACAATGAAATCGCACCTAACTTTTCTAAAACAAGCATAGGTGTGTGCATATCCTGTAAGATACACTCCCAGTCGTGCACCTGCTAGGGCAAAGGGTCTGCATTGTAAACATTCCCATACATAGGCCCAGGTGGCCCCCGTCAACAATGGTTCCCATGCACCCATTTCCTCGTACCCTTACTGAAATCTGACTTCCTGCTATCTATCCGTTTAATTTGCCCGTTAAGTGAAGAGAAACACCGCTGTATGCTGAAAAGCTTTCTGCGCCCCTTTTTCTGCAAGCAGCCTGGAGACAGCCTCCCCTCACTTCTCTGCCTTGGTACTGGTTTCCTTACTGACGGATGAAAGCTCCTTATGTGTCAAGGAAACAGGCTGTTTCTCATCTGCATCATGAACATGTTTCCAGCTGTCTTTTTACTTTAATGTGACATTTCCAGGAGAAAACTTGTATTGATGTAGTTAAATTGATTACTCGTGTAATATGTTTCTGTTCTATTTAGGGAGGACTTTTGCCTGTAGAAATGTACAGTGAATTTCCCTACGTCTTCTTCTGAATGAGCCTCTG